CGTGAGGTGGCGTAAACTCGGTGTAAAACGCGATATTCGCGGTGATATGCAATAGTCGTGAAATGTATTTTTCATATCACTATGGTGAAACTCCAATATATTGCAAAATATAGATATGGAAATCATTTATAGCGCAAAATCGAAGAAAAAATGAAAATTCTGAGGAAATTTTTCGGAAAATTTTACATTTTTCCTCAAAATTTATATGCCAACTCCTATAATAAAAAAAGCGTACAAATATTACCGTTGTATTTTCTCGAGGCTTTCAGTTCTTTACAGACTCTCATCAGCATTATCAATGATTCGTTCGTCATATTCGAGAGCTCATCTTGCACTCTATTAGTCTTGATGCAGACCACCTACTTCAAAAACAATGGAGTTTAACCCCAGTGATATGAAAAAAAACTAGTGAGAAACACATTTTCGATTCACTTCATATCGCGTTTTTCACATGGAGTATTACGCCACTTCACATTTTAGTGAATTTCCTACATCGAAAAACGCCCTCCAGTCCTTTACAAACCTCATCAGCCCACGCATAGACAAACGCAGATCTTCCAACGACATACCTGTGCGTGAAAAATCAACAATTTCGGAATTATTCACGCACTTACTCGGTGCTAATTCCGCTGCTGCAGGAACAATAACATCAGTGTAATGTTTAGTTCGCAATCCATGCCGGCCGGCCTCATAAAGAACCTGGGAAAAATTTTCCCACGAGAATATTCATTTTCCGCATATTTTCCCGGAAAATATGAAAATTTTCTAAAAATTCTTATTGGTTTCTGTACACTTCTACCCAAATTCGTATATAGACTTCTATAATTAGTGAGAAAACTCTTGAGCTCAGCCGAGGGAAGCGAACATATATTCCTCCAACACTGATCAGCAGTATGGGAAAACATGCATATGGTCAACCACATGTGATGGTGACAGTATAAAAAATTTTCAGAAATTTCTGGGAAATTTTCACTGGTTTCTATACACTTTTACTCAGCTGAGAAAAGCGAACAAGTGTTCGTCAGGATGAAGGGTGAAAGTAGACGCTTTCCTACCAGAGCAATCGTGTGAGGGTCCATCAGTTTAGCACGCTCAGCGCTGTGACACGTGAAATCGAAAACTTCAGGGTGGTAGACCATGCCTTGTCCAAGCAGTTGCAGAGTGCGACCAGCCTGAAAAAAACGAAAAAATCTGAGAAAAAATTACATTTTTTTCCTCAAGTGAGCTGAGGAAAGCAAACATATATATTCCAACACATGCACATGGGGAAAATTCTGATAATTTTTTTCCAAAAAAGTTTCTTCAACTGAGCTAAGGAAAGCAAACATATATTCCATCACTGCGATTTCACAGGCCTGATAAAAACCAACATAGAGAAATTTTCAGAGAAAAATTCCGAAAAATACTCATTTCTTTCCAGTGTGGGAAAAATTTGCACATAATCGACGACGTATGATTGTGACAATGTGAAAAAATTTTCTGAAAATTTTTGGAAAAATTCTGCTGAGTCCTGTTATTCGTACGAGCTCGGGTATAGAAACTAAAAAGAATTTCCCAAAATTCCCTCAAAATACCTGTCGTAATTTTTCTCTCATCTCTGCTGGCTCCACATTTTTCATAAAGCGAAAACATATTGGAGTTACATCTCGCAGTGGGGCTCTCAAACGCAACTGAAAAAGATGTCATATGCAGGGATCGAACCCGGGACCTTCCGCACTACCTTCACGAAACTTTCCATCAGAGCAATCACGTCCGACCATTTCAACGACGCGCTTTCCACAGTAGCTATCGAGACCGTTCTGTTGACCAAATGCTGTAGCCTCCCATCTGAGAGCATATTCCTAGTTGCTGTTTCCGCACTTTCCACGGTCTTGGTTAACTCCTTGAGAACTGATGAAAAATCACTCTCAAAAATTCCGAATGTAATCAGCGTTTACCTGCAATACACTGTGAAGTAGTGAATGAATCTCCATGGCGATCAACCTGGACCAGCAAATTCTCGACGACTGCTTCTACCGCATCTAATGAACATGATGTAAATACTTCACACATTGCTTCGTTGAAATTTTGGTATTAAAAACTCGATAAAAGTTAGATTTTTTTATAATTGAAAATTATAAACTGTAACCTACCTTCCTCCGATATTTCACTTGATTTAAGAGCAACTCCCGGGAGAGCACCAAGAGCCTGAAAGACAATAAGTCCACAGTAACCGTGCGAAGCTCACCTCAGCACGATGCAGCGACTCTGAAGATCTCAGTGGTTGTAATACTCCCAAGGCTGCCGTGCTCCTCACATCGGGGGGATTTATGGTAGACGCTCTAGGAGGCTTCAAAGTGGCATGTGCAGCGGCTGAGGTGCTGAATAGGCGGCGGAGTGGTATCGCAGAAGTGCTCGGTGGCATACGAAATGGAAAAATAATAAAACTTAAAAACATCTCAGATCCGTCTCGGGCCGAAACCCATCATAGTTCGAAGCCAAAATGACGTAAACGAATACACACAATTGCAAGAGTAATAGAGAAGGCTCGAGCGTGAGTAAGGGTAGACGACGCCGTGTGGGCAAGAAAAAATTAAATTGTTGATTCTCAACTGAGCAGCGACAAATACTATTATAACAATGTCTATGCTCGAGTGTAAACTCCAGTTGGAGTGAAAGATACCCGACGTAAAGTGCTGCAACACAAGATGCACCGAACAACAAAATGTGCGGAAAAGTAGTCCCGGCGGGGGTCGAACCCGCGGCCTACGGCTCATAAGACCGTCGCTCTAACCACTGAGCTACAGGACCTTATATAATAATTAGTGATTTGTCTAAGAGCCTCTGTTCGGAAAGCCCTGGTCTCCCTTGAAATGTATGGATATGCATTTTAATACTCTTTATAACACAGCTTGAGCATCCTCGAAGTAACAACGATTAACCCCATAGAGTCAATCTCGTCAACCATCATCCTTTACAAAATCTACATTAGCTTCCAAAATGTTGAAGCACTTCATCTTTTTCCCTCAGCTTAGTCTGCCAAGTCAATGAAGCACTCCGAGACGCCCGGCTCGAACAGGTCCAAAAGTCCCGAGCCGAAGCGGTTCAAGGGCGACTACCAGAGCCCATTGAAACCAGGAGAAGCTCTTCATTTCGAACTGCAAGGTAGTATACGATCGAAATTGTACATTCATTACCACGGAAGGAATAAAACTAACACAACAGTTGTAGACTCGAACGACATTGAAAACTTCACGTCCTCAGGCACGGACGGCCGAGCTCGCGCTGGTGTTGTTCATTTACCCCACGGACCAGTGAAGACTCCCGTTTTCATGCCAGTCGGCACCTACGGTGAAGCCGCTCATTGCATTAACCTGTTTCCAGTTTTCCCCTCTGTAGGTACTATCAAGGGACTACTCTCGGAAGAGGTAGATGAGCTCGGTCCGGAGATCATACTGGCCAATACATATCATCTCGGGACGAGTCCTGGTGCTGAATTATTGCAGAAAGTCGGCGGACTGCATGAGTAAGCAGCGTCGTAGTGCAGTGGTAGAGCGCTCTGCTAGTATGGCAAAGGCTTGGGGATCTAATCCTTGTCGAGGCTCTATTGCTGGTATAATTCTACATGTCGTCAGGTACATGCATTGGCCAAGGAATTTACTGACAGACTCGGGCGGCTTTCAGATGGTCAGCTTGTTGAAGCTTTTGTCTATTAGTGAGGAAGGAGTTCATTTCCAGAACCCTCGGACTAAAGGTCCGTGAGCGGACCTATTTCGTATCTTTCATGCATGAACCTAAGATATGCATCTTTCTCAGAAATGATGATGTTAACCCCCGAAGAATCTATGGGGATTCAAAACTCAATCGGAGCCGATATTATGATGGCCTTAGACGATGTCGTCAGCAGCACTTATGAGGATCGTGCTAGGATGAAGGTGAGAATCTTAGGTTCAACCATGCAAGATACAAAATAGGTCCGATTTTGTATCACTTCAGGATGCTGTTGAAAGAACTATTCGTTGGCTCGATCGATGTATTGCTGCCCATAAACGACCACACGAACAGAATCTTTTCGGTATCGTCCAGGGCGGCCTCGACCGTGAGCTCAGAAGTTGGTGCCTCGCAGAAATCAAGGTAATGCGAAAAGTGTGGAAATATATGCACATGGTCAACTACACGTGTTAGTAAAAATATAGAAATTATGAAAAAAATTCTAAAAATTTTCCCACGTTTTTGTACAATTCCAGCAAAAATCGTTTGTGATTTTTCATAAAGTAATGAGGAAACTCACGAACTCAGTTGAGGAAACCAAACATACATTCTGGCCGCCCTCAGAAACGTAAACTGCCGGGATATGCTATTGGAGGGCTCAGCGGTGGCGAGGCTAAGGAGTCCTTCTGGCAAGTCGTCGAACAGTGCACTGCCCAACCCGAGGGTAATATTTTGCTGTTGTTGGAATCTGGGAACGGAATCATAAGGAATTTGAATATTTTTTAATGACATTCCTAATTTTGGAATAGGTGGGGTGATACAAGTTTATTTTCGAATTCGGGTAGAAGTGCACAAAAGCAAAAAAAAATTCCCCCAAATTTCCTCAGAATTTTCATACCGTCACTATTATATGTTTTCCCACACTTTCCAGTGTTGGAATATATTTTGGTTTTCTTCACTGAATATGAAAGTTTATATTCGAATTCGGGTAAAAATGTACGAAAACCAACAGGAATTTTCCTGAATTTTCCTCGGAATTTTCCTCGGAATTTTCTTACTGTCACTTATACATTTTCCACTTGTTGGAATATATCTCGGTTTTACTCGATTTTCGGTCATACTCGATGTATAAAACCCAACAAGAAATTTTTCAGTATTTTCCCACACTTTGGCATTCAGGACTGCCCACGCACCGTCCGCGTTACCTCATGGGAGTCGGTTACACTCTTGATATCATATGCTGCGTCGCACTAGGCGTCGACATGTTCGACTGCGTTTACCCCACACGTAAGTTCTCTCTTTGTGTTGTTGTATACGAGATATATGTTTGCTTGGAATCATCAAATTCGAAGTGTATGAGAATTTCCCAGAATTTTCCCACAGGTACGGCGAGATTCGGAACTGCTCTCGTACGTTCCGGTCAAATGCGTTTAAACCGCGCAGACTACCGTTTTGATTTCCAACCGATCGATCCGAGATGTTCATGCCCGACCTGCAAGAAGGGGTATACTCGTGCGTATTTGCACTCCATCGCTGCTAAGGAACCGGTGTGTGCGAAGCTTATCACGATTCACAACATTCACTATATGTTGACACTTTTAAGAGAATGCAGAGCTGCTATACTCGAAAAAAGATTCGCTGAGTTCGTCCGAGAATTCCTGGCAGAAATGTACCCGCGAGAATCTTCAATCTGCCCTCCAGGGTGGTGCCGACGGTGCTTGTCTAAGGCTGGTATTAATATCGATGATATGTATGATTGGGAACGATGTAAAGAAGGCCGGGATATGCCGGTTTCCGAGATTACTGCTAAAGCTGTGGATTGCGAAAAATGATTACTACGTTTCTCTCGAGATGCTCACTTTTGTATTGCCTAAAATAGTAGTGGGTGTTCTCAACTGAATGGATTTGAATTGCGTCGCTCCGCTAGATTGCGTGCCTAGCATGTTCTTGGTGTTAGACACCTTTAAGGACTTGGTTGGAAGGGTCTCTCTCTCCACGACCGTAGTGGACGTGATCTTGGTCTACACTTTCCTCGTTTCATTGCGAGCTATGGGTTAGCATTGAGCGATTTCTGCGTACATGATACCCCATTGGAGTGCGCAATTGATAATGCACGCCAACGCTACAATAAGGATTGCAATCCTGAGGACTCCCCCCGACGACCTTATGTTCATACTCCTGTATTGGACTACAGAGACTTCATGCGTAACTTGCCGCGATCAACACAAGCATGTACAGCTGATCCAAGTCCTTTGAAACTTCTTGCTGTTGCCGCTGCCTTACCCTCGCGAAGTTATCCGTGACGAATTGGTGGCGGACTCTATCCTGCCACCAATGAAGAGTAGATTTGGTGCATGGTTATATGTGCACGACCAGATGGTCCTCGCTGAGTCCATAGTGAACAAAAAAGTTCAGGTAACTCGTGTTGAAGAACTGGTACGAAGCCCATCGAGTGGTATAAGCAATGTTCACTTCTATTATAGAAAGTACTGAGCCCTGCTCATACTTTCTTCACCAATCCCGAGAAGTTCACAGTCGTACTCCGACGCTGGAGTAGTAGTGATTGCAATACAGCTTCACGTCCATGGGAAGAATCTTCCCAGATAGAGAGAAAGCTCTTCAACTCCCTCACCACTGAACACAACTTGATTATTAACTGGAAATGTCGACGAGTTCTATTGGCAGACATGGTCAAAGCGACCCCACGATTCTCTACCACATATCAAGGAACGGCTCTTGATCTCACTGGTCGCCTTTTCTTACTGGAACTCAAGTCTTGTGAGAATGAAGAGCAGTTCCAACAAAAGCTAATCAAGACTGCCCAGGATCTAGATCTTGAGGAATTCGATAGACGAATTCCTCAAGATTCCGGTCCGTCGGCGACGTGATAAACGCCATGCCCGACAGGAGAGGAGGAATTCTTAGCAGTTTTCCTACAAAAGGATGCGAAGCAATCCTCCGCCAGGCCAAAGTTTCTTCACCATACCAGTTGCCCATGATCCTGCCCGGCCTATAGAGCCTCTAACTACAAGTGCCTCGAAACCCATGAAGCTCTCACCTCCATCAATAAAGCTGGGAAGCTCAAGGATGGCTCTTGGAATTACCCCGGAGGAGTCAGAGCGTCGATGGAAGAATAAATTATGCTCCCTATGTGGACCGACTTCTCATAGAGCAAGCAACTGTACCAATGAAAAGTCAAGACGCTCATTGCGTACAGGGCTAAGTTCTCACAGACAGCTTATGAGTTGAGTTCTAGTATAGTTACTGTAGGCGTAGTTGGGCAGAATCATCTCTGTGCTCGAAACATACATTTATCAGTAGTTGAGACTGAACCCTTATATCTCGACACTGTAGAGAATTCTTCATATGGTACAAGTTGTACCGTACAACAACATCATCAATGATGGCCCGCATAGAAGTGGGACCTTCTTGGAGATCCGATGCTTCGAAATTAACTGATGCTGCATTTGCCGTCAAATATAGGCATCTTGCTGTCGTGCAGTGCACGACGTGCACGGATATACAACCATTAGAGGTTGTGATCATATACATGGCAGTGATTTTTAGTGTTCTCCTGCCAGCAGCAACCTTACTGTAAGGCTTGACACAGAAAGCAGCAAGAATTCCCAAATTTTCCTCAGATTTTTATCTCCCTCTATAGCCGTCTATCACATTCATCACTATTGCTAGAATGGTTCAAAACAAAAGATCATCACAATGGGGGCAAGGCGGGCGGCCTTATTGGCAGCGCCGCGAGGCCCCTACTCCTGCCCCTGCTTCTACCTCACCCCCAGACTGGGAGAGGCTCTTGATCTCCTTCACAAGGTATAATAGGAGCTCATTAGAGTCTGCGTCAGGGTTTGCCCTTTGGGCGGGCAAGCGTCAAAATTTCGCGGAAAGGAAATTTTATGACGGAAAATTTCGGAAACGGTGGAAATGGAAATTTCCGTGTAAATCTCGCACGCCATGCGGGCGCGCGAGACATGCGATCAGCCAGGTATGCCCACCGGACCCAACGTATGCCACTTCCGGGCCCAACGTAAGTCATGCCAAATAGGGTGGTTTGAACCAGATAAATCACGGCCCTTCGGCCCGCTATAGTAGCCATGTCATCTTAGGGTGTTATACGAGTCTGGCCGAGGCTGGCCGAGTTCTGCTTCAGTTTGTATCCTAGGTAACTGAGTCTACTGTTCTGGGTCGAACGTGAGCAAAAGCTTGGGCTCTTAAAGGGGAAATGAGATATCTCATCTCGTTTTTCATCCACCATAATCATTCTGAATTACGGGAGAAAGTGATCGATGTCTACGCTCTATGGCCCATAGGGCCCAAACCCATAGGCCATGGGTCTCCACCTCGGATACCGTCCATCATGCTGGGGCTCAGCAGCTTATCCAAAGTGACGCAAATTCGTGCGAGTTACAGGCTGTAACTTACAGCTAACGTGTGAATGCGAAGATTACCGCCGAAGATGTACTCGATAGAACGCAAGATATGGTGGACTTAGTCCACTGGAGTCCAGTGACTGGACTACAGTCAAGTAGGTCGATAGCGCCAACCGTGAAAATAACTGGAGCTACGCCGACACTATTCGACTCTCGAGAGAGAGAACGCAAGATTGCAAGATAGTTGGAGAATCGCTAACTCTTGAGAGGCTCACGCGCACGCCCACCTGATCGATATCTGAGGGTAACCGCAAGATGTATTCATAGTGACCAGTAGACACCTGCGAACGCCTTCACTAGCTTTATTCGGCCATTATGAATGAATCTGAACTACTTCTCTTCTCTCTACTACCCTGGGCACGATTTTTTGGGCATTTTTAGCAAATTTCCAAGAATTTCCAGCCTCAACGGAAATTTCTGAAATTGTCTCGAAAATTTCCTTCGGAAATTTCCGCCCGTGCCCAAAGGGCAAACCCTGGTCTGCGTGGGTCAGCCGAGGTAGTGAGCAGGAAACGGGTCGGACACATCTGCTGTCCGGACCCGGTTCCCCCTCTGAAAGGGGACGCCTATCTGGTAAGTCATAAGGCATTGTTTCAAACAATTTGTTTGGTATACTCATTATTTCTTTCAGGCTTCCCTGTGTTGCCGACTAGTACTACTCCGTCAACTGTGGAGACTAATACCACATCACCGCCAACAAGCCCTCATAACACGCCTGTAGCCGACACTACTACTACCACTTCAAATAGAGACCAAGCAGACACTACTGTTACTGGTACTACAGCGACGCTGGAGGAGAAGATAGATGCCCTCACGGCAGCATTGACGGCACTCATTCAACAACAAGCTGCTACTTATGGGGGTTCAGATGGCGCTTTAATGGCTGGGGCCATCTCGTGGGGCACCTCTGTCATGACCACCTCTGGCAGAGATGCAGAGGTGAAGGATATTAGGCAGGTCTTCTCCTGGAGATCTTTGTGGACTAGTTCAGGGGCTTCTTCTACGAAACTATTGGTGAATGGTTCTATGCGTAAAGTGCCGAGGAATGTTTCTGTTGAAGAGATTCAGTGGAAATATCTCGTGTCGGCTGCCAAAGAAAATCACAGACCTGTGTACTCTTGCAGCGAGAAATACGAGAATGGGCGTCAAAAAGGGCGTGTAATTATGTCAGGTGACGACGTGTCATTTGTAGCTGCAAGTTGTTTCTTGTTCGGATCTGAGGAGAGACTGGCTACTCTGGAGATTGATGCTCATTCTACTAAGACCGGTGGAGACTCAGAGTCTATTGGAGAATTAAGGAAACTCTTTTCTCAAAAGACTTTCTTCACATGCTTGGACTATGACAATTTCAATGAGCAGCACCAAATAGAAGTGCTCAAATATATCGCAGACAAGTGGAGAATCTCCGACACGAAATGAGGAACTTGAGAGGCGAGGATTCCCTGAGGAATTCCGCGGGGAAATTACAGCTAAGTCGAGAACATATGGCTGCATCGGGCCCAGAGTGAAAATTTTCGAGAACAAGGTGGAAGCGGCGAATTTCGAGCGCGGGTGTGAGAATAAATGGCGTATCTACACAGGCGGCAGTAGAGTCCCAAGAAATGACACATACAATATCATGGGTAGCACAGGAGCAGCCTCCATATCGGTATCACCACCTGGTCGAGAAACGGCCTGTTCTTATAAATTACACCCGGACTGTTCTATCTTCCAAGCGGAGCTTTCGGCTATAGACAAGGAAATAGCCTTCGCCATGGCAACGGCGGAAGAGTATGGACCCTCTACGGAAGTTACCATACTATCCGATAGTCAAGCGGCCCTGAAATCATTAACATCGGCGAAGCAGACGGCCCTGTCCATAGCAATATGCCGACGATACCAACACTGTGAGGCGTCTGGCATCTACGTTACTTTCGCTTGGGTAGGCGCTCTTTGGGGTGCACTACAATGAGCGAATGGACGAGCTTGCCAACGAGGGACGGTCAAGGGGTGTGCCGGAAGGCATACCGCTGCCCGAGACTGCTACCAAAAAGATCTTGGATCGATCGAAAGATCGTTGCCTGGAGAGCCTCCTAACAGGCCTGTCACCACCCGCTCAGAGAGCACTATCAACGCGTAGACAGAGGAAGAAGGTCACCAATTTCGCATGCAGGCAGAAAGGATCAGCCTTCGTGAAGCTACTAAGCGGCCACGCACCATGCTTGGCGAGCTACAGGTATCGAAGTGACGCGCCGACCTCGACGCTATGTCCGAAATGTAATGTGGAAGACTCGAATGAGCATGCAATGCTATCCTGCACACGGGTGGGGAGAGCTACATCTAGGCCGCTTTGGGTGAGAGGAGAAGGATCTCTAGGCCAAGTGACGACCTGTTCCAACCGGCTGAGAGAGTTTGAGATGTACTGTAGAGCCCTCCTTCGGGAAGACGAACGTGAAGGATGAAAAAAAGAAAGAAAAAAAGTTGGTGTATTCAGATGTTGTCGATCGACCGTAGGTTGAGACCGAGATGGTTCCACCCATGAACCAGTCTCGCTCCTTTTTTTAAGTCTTGTTCCAAGTTGGTTGGAGGACACTAACATATGTCCGGAAACATGGGCCATACTCCGTGACATAGTTAGTGTGACCAAACATGATCTGTGAACCTATGGCCCGAGGTAAGACCCAGAGAGGGTTCGGGCTTCGGGTTCACAGTGTTTGGTCCTCTCCCACACTCCCAACCAACTATCCGATGACGGACAGATGCCACTCGAATTGAGAAGAAGAGTCTTGAATTACCAATACGCTGCACCAACACAAAGTGTGAGGGACCTCAGAGGAAACGCCAAGACGAATTTGAATTATATTTATTTCTGTCCCGGTTCGGCTAAATGATCTGTGTAATCGGAGTAAGACTCCTAGCTTTGTCCCTTTCCGTCGCTTGTCCTATTGCCGTTCATCAGTTACCACTTTTCGCTTCTTCCCAGTACTCGACGTTTATCCCAGTTCATCAATTCCACTGAACTCGACGCGAAGAGTCTTAGCGTCGAGTTTAGCGGAGACCACGAATAAATGCCAATTAACGGCACTTTGTTAGCTCAGATTTTGTACAATGGAAGTAACTCCTGTGACCCCTTGGAGGACCACTCACTGACTTGCAGCCAAACCAGGTTCAATTCTTGCTAGGCATGAACTGAACTATGACACAGAGACGAGTAGAAAAAGGACAGGCCAAATAGCATGCGCCTCGTCACAGTATGGCATCATCGAGGAACGTCACCACATCCGAACCAACATCTTCCATCTCGATTGAAGAGAAGGACTCACCAGAGGCACAGCTCCCTCGACCTAGTGTAGTGCCATCCAAACACCAAATCTTCGAATCTAGCTCCGACTTGCTATTCCTCAACGCCTACACCGATACAACTACATCCCTTCACATATTCTTAGCATAGCCGGCTTTCCGAGTCGTACACAGTCACTTCAACGAGTACTATCTTGCGACTCAGGAAGGTATGCTCTTATGCTCCACATGATATAACCTCCAAGTTTCAGGGCCTAACTCTTCGTAGTTAGTGAGAGGTCGAAAAGTGGTAAAACATTTTCTCCACACATTCTTAGCACACACGTGTTAAAATCGTGCCTCAAAATACTAACTTTTACTGGGAAAGTGTATCCATAACTTCACGCCTAATCTAATGTTATATATCAGTAGAAAGAGGATCTTCCTGGAAGAACCTCTTTCTGTTTCTGGAAGATTCTTCCACATCTCCAGAAAAACCGGATATGCTAAGAATATGCAGGAGTCTATAACCAACACAACCCCTACCACTTACCATCACCACATTCTCCTTAGGGCAGTCCTCTTTCGCGAATCTCAGCGTGGAATTGACCCAGCAGAGGGGTATGGTAAATTCAGCCATCTTGAGATGAGGTTGAACACGAAAAACCCGAAGAGTATCTTCCTCTGGGCAGTTCTCATCACCACTAGTCACAGAAGGACTAAATTTGAAATCTTGCAATCTTGCGTTTCCTCAACGTTACCTGTCCCCAATAGCCGTCACACAAAGTCGTTTGATTATTGGTCGGTAGTTGTTGGTCATGGAATGGAAGGTGAATTCATGGGTGTAGCCATTGGTATCGCATCCCGCTGATCGACCGATTACTGCGGCCATCCATCTGAATGAGACCGTTTAACACTAGAGTTTCACCCTGACGTAATACTCTGAGAAAAACGCGCTATGCAGTAGTCGTGAAATATATTTTTCACTAGTGTTTTTCATATCACGGGTAGAACCCCACTGTTTTCGATCCCTGTCGCATTGCGTGAACTCTTTCCTCATTTCCTCAACTAATTATATATCCTATAATCTCCGATATACAAACGACCGGTCATATCTGCGCGGTCATTATGCGCGAAACTCCCCATAGTTATGGCAATCCAATGATGCGATGATTCAGGGGTGATTACTGTATGCTTCGTGACGATGTATCGTTGGTGTGGTATTCAGCGTGGTGGAATTTGCACATCATGAACCGCATATGTTAGTGATATGAAAATTCTGGGGAAATTTCGGGAAATTCCTGCTGGTTTCTGTCCACGTCTAATCGAATTCGTATATATGATTAGTGAGAGAACTTCTGAGGGAAGCGAGAATATATTCCAACACTGGCGGTATTGAATGGCCCACCTAGCATGCCCCCCGCCAGCTAAAAAGCCGACACAGATCGCCTCTCCTCGGGATGACTTGCGCAGGTACATAGTCTTCTCGTGATTCCACGTCTTGCGGCTGCGTTCATCGTAACCACTGGGACAACTGGATGTGGACTGAAATGCAGTGACCGGGGATCGAACCCGCGACCTGACCGACCTCAGGCAACTGAATAAAGCGATAGACCCATCCTTGCGGTGACACAGAGATGCATATCGTGAGGAGATCATCCACAGGTACGTATTTAACATCATCAGGATGGAGAACTTTGAGCCCTATAAGATGCGTCCAACCCTGACACGCAGACCTCATCCATATCTTGCAATCATGAACCTAAGATACCTGATCGCCGCACCAATCCGTGCCAACATTGATCCGATGCTTTAGCCCAGCTCCCGACCCATCATTCGCTTGCCCAATGCAAGCCGGGAAGTCTCTAATGTACCGTCGGTCCTTCCCTGATACCAATACCGATCATCAGGGCGCGCGCTAATCGCACACCAACCCCTCTCCAGTGCTTGTTCGAGCACTTCCTTATGCATAACATGGATAGCACCACGGTGGGTTGAGGGAAGCGTTCGAATGAATCTTTGCAGTCTCCACTGATGATCGATTACCGTACCAAGTTGACGACTAAAATCCACTGCGAGGAATCTGGGGAAAATGCACTCACTTGCTAATCTTGAATTTCCTCAACGCCAATGAATCCACTCACCGGAGATCATTGTCTTGGCGACAACGATCAGGAAGGAGTTTCCGGAGCTCATCCAATTCACTCGGGATCTTCTTGAGAGGTATACGAATACCAATGCCGCATAGTCCTACATACCACACTTCGACCTATTTTGTATCTCCCTCCATCCAACCTCGATTAGCGATGAGAAACGTCCGTTCTAGCGACGACTTCGGCTCTAGTTTTGATGCAACTGATTTCCAATGCAGTGTGAACCCTCGAATTGACGCATTCTGCCGAGGATCTGCAAAGATAGGCGCGCGCACAGCGAATAATTTCTCAAACACCCTGAGGGCCTCTTACCAGCGAAAACATCAGAATCGTCTGCCTTTACGAACTCATTCATCAGTCGGTACTCGACATTATTAATACCATCTCCACGCCATACCACATCCCCTGACCTCACCTGATCGAGCTTGTTGTAAAAAGCGCACGCCATTGTGACCGATTACCCGTTGAAGGCGATCCCATAGTGGTTTATCATCAGCCGGCCTCCTTCGAGGCGTGTGGTCACTGTCATGCAGGCAAAGGAATTTGCCATGGCCTTTGCGTGGTCGAGATATCTTGAAAATGCGCACAGCGAAGATTCTCTCTCAAGCGCGTTGCTCAAATTACTTCGACGCTTCCGGGTTGTGATTGGCAAAAGGGATTACATCCTCCCCGCAGTAGTTGGTTGTGGCGTAGTCGCCAATACCTTCAGAACATCTCTGATGATACCCGAGTTCGATCCCTGCATCCGTCATTTTCTTACAAGTCATCGTCCTCTCCTCCCCATCCCCAATATTCATTAGAGAAGCCATTGATCCTCCGCCAGTGGTCGGGACTCATCGCTACCGTTCCTCCGACATTTCCCGGATAGGGAACACTCCAACCCCAACACTCAATCTCGCTGCTCAGCTGGACGGGCGACGAACACGAACCAAAATCAACACCTGGGAGCTATTCATGACAAATTCACAATTCATCATCTCCGCGATGCGGCGATGGGCGGAGCTTCATGGAATATTACGCAAGCGGGCTGCGATATCAGTTTCCAAGTGAAATTCCCCCTGGAGAAGACGTATGGCTCATACGGTAAGTTGAATATGAATATGAAGGGAGGATGCATCGCTCCGCCGCCTACCCGACATAGGTAAGTTGTCAACATCTTGCATCACTATGCAGTCTGGTGGCTTTTCATTGAGACTCCGCAATGCCTCGGTGAACCTTACAGCAGAAAACATCGTGAAATATAAAACAATTATCACAGCTGGAATGGTCTAGTTGGTTATGACGATCGCCTCACACGCGATAGGTCCCGAGTTCGATTCTCGGTTCCAGTATTTCACTTCAATGCCGCCTCTCCCAATTCCTACCCAACATTGAACAACCATCCCCTGTTGAACAACTGGTTGTCGAACTGCTCGATGAGGAATATATGAAACTCTTGATTTCGCCGATTCTCGACATTCAGTTCTCGGACAAAATCAGCGAAGTGGCGCTCGAACTTCTTGTAGTGACTCTCACGATCTCGATACCTTCAGATCGACTCACCTCGACTGCGTCATCATCAATTGCAATAATCACTTTTCTGTGAATGGAAAGGTATATAAGCAATGATTTTCCGGGTACAGTCACCCCATTTCGCCACAACGATGGCATCCTCACTCACATAAACCACTGCCAACCGATTCAGCGATACAGGAAACTCAACTAGGTAGTTTCCGGCTTCCCAATGCTCCCGCATCAGCGCTACCCCTCTCTTCACGGGACGAAAGCTAAACTGGTTGGTGTATGAGTGCATCAGATACTTTGCCTCACGAGGATTTGCGCGACAGGAAGCGCCCTCGCCCCCAGTCTATGTATTCGGATCACTTCTTTACGAAAAAGTTCCCCGTTGTCTTTCTTCTCGATGAGTGAGTCTTCAAAAATATTAAAACGAAAATGTGTCTTCGTATTCACTGTGTGCGAGCCGTGAGGAACTCATGTGTACTCACGGTATGATAATTGCAATCCGCTTGTCCCGAGTCTCCGGTACTTCAACCTCTGCAGCGTGGACTTGACGATAATCGATACATCCCGGGCATTCACAATGCAGTCTCGAGATACCACACCATCTGCACAACGTTTTCCCTCTCCTGGAGATTCAGCGCCTCACCCGCTCGTGCTGCAACACGGAAACTCTCCATCGGGGTTGCACTCAGATTTCTCTCGTTTGCCGTCGTCCGAAGGCCAGCCCGATCCACATCTAAGTGAGCTTCCCTCCGATTGGAGAATATTAATGCTACTTGAAATCGCTCCGCCACGGTGTCTGCTTTTCTTCCTTTTTAATAACCGCAGTGGTGGTCTTTACTATTGAGTCGTCAGTTTCTTCCCGAGCTGAAGACAATACAGAGTGGTATCCCGCGACACAGCACTAGAGAAAAACAATAAAGGCGATTCTTCCGCGATTTTTATCTGACGCATTCACCAGCCTGTTGAGAAACACTCCATTTATGGGAGACATTGAAACATGTGGCCCTCAGACTCGGAAACCCATACTCCCACAAGACGGAACGTCTGGTAGAGCTAGCCCCGAGTAGCCGAGGCTTAACTACGTAAAAATTCCGACCATCCTATACAAGCGCTCGTCAAAGACAATGATACTACAGTCTAGTTCGTAATTAACATCGTCTTACACACCATAGGCCGCGAGTTCGATTCTCAGCCTGAGTACTTCTTACATCTGGTGGTTGCTACACCACTCCTCGGCACACACTCATCCACAAGTCGCCTTAATCTCTCTAGTTCCTCCATTAACTCACCCACTCTTTTCTCCAGCTTGACACTCTGCTCAGCGAAAACCATACAAGCTCCTTCACTTAGTCGTAACTCACTCGGTCGTCCTCTTCCAAAATCTCCCCCACGAGCTTTCGTATATCCTCACGACGGCGTACTAGCACTGACGAATCAAACAGTCGAGCATCTCGATTGAGCTTCGCTCCGCTAGAAATTTGTTCGAAAATTTCACTCAGCAGAGTTATAGACCGATCGTGTCGTTCTAGCTGTTTTAATCGGGGTATATATACGATCTGAAAGTTATCCTCCTCAGTCGATGCCAAGCTCAACCCTCACCTCGAAAAAACAAAGCCCCGCCACGCAGCAAAATATGACTAAGCCGATGAGAACTGCGAGGAAATCGATGGGCGGTCGGCCATTCATAACGAGCCTTACGAAGATACAAAACCATTCCCTTCAGCGGCCGACTAACGCAACATTGAAAAACAGTGTGGGGGGAAATATGCATACGATCAACAGCATTATGAAAATTGTGGAGCAATTTTGGGACATTCTTATTCATACCCGAATTCATAAGTAAACTCCTATAATCTGTGAGGAAACCGACCACATGTTCCAACACTGTTGAGAACATCACTGGGCGAATCTTTCACAAGCGAACCCTGGGCTACCACCCAAACTCTACTCCATAGTACGTCCTACCACACCTCACAAAACACTACTCGCAGAAAATTCATGCCCACCCATCCAGCCCGCCAAGTAGTGTTCCTATATCCACATCCTTCAACCGTTGAGGAAATGTAAGTGACCTCAAGATTGCAAGATTCACATATCTGACCTTTGGAGAGAATAATAGAACACACTAAAGAGCAGCGCATCTCAAATTAACAACGACAACACAACACTATTATGCACAACTGAGCTCAACAACACATGAGGGTCATTCATGAATACTCAACGCCCATACCCGAATCTTCCTGTGTCGTAACAGCCTGACGGATCTGGGAGAAGCTGCTAACCAGAAGGTCCTCGGTTCAATCCCAGCACCCACCTCTGCCATTTTAGACGCCTCCTCATAAACCTCCCTGCGGAATTTCACCGACGACGAGCGATCCAACTTACGTTCTATAGAGACGTCAGACTCCCCTGAGGAAACTCATTTTCCGATACAGACAATCTAATGAACTCCTCGAAAATCAATCTGGTCAGATTGACTTGCGCCTTGAAAATATAATTTCTTCACTCGTGAGCGGCCACACCGAATGCAAATGCTTCTACATTTGAGTTTCGCATTCTGTTACGGGGACCCATCTAGCTTTGAGATAGAGCGTTCCCTAGGGTTTGATAAAAATGGGGGAAATGTTTCTAATGTGATCACAACTATATGGAAAACTCATTAAAGAATGTGTAAAATTCAAAATGAAGTCCCCCGGGGAAGTTATAGTATTAATACTAATACCGTTCGAAACACATCTTATACCTCTACTATGCAGCCGAAAACACTCCTACTTCTGCGCCTCTCGCCAGCGACAGTGTAATCTCGTGGATTGTGTCCAATATCGATCAGCCGATCGATTTCAGCATCCACGCTAGCTGACACCCA